TGATCTCAGTGCTAGTTCCGTGATTAAAACGAACGTTCGCACATATCCGAATCAGAATGTGTATTTAGACTACAGGAGGAATCCGATGAGCTATGAAGCTCTTTTTCACAGATGTCCAGTAGGGGCGGGTCAGAACGTTACAAAAACAAAAATTGAAAGAAAAAAAACACTGGAGTGCAAAGCATAGGAAAGGTAAACAAATCACTAAACAGAAATAAAACTAAACAATGTTTTACTTGATGCTCTCAGCCTGATGACGAGTGATTTCACTTAAAAAATAAGCTGCATTCAATTTGGGTTGCCACTTCAGTTGTGTAAATTCCAGCTCTTGAGAATAACAAAAAAAATACATATTAGTTTGAATTTCAATTTTATTTACGCAATTTGCAAAACGCACAACTGGAAACCACAGACGAGTGGGCAGGCAGCCAGAACCGTTGCTGCCAATAATTTCCCAAGCTCTGTGGTTCTCTATTTGGATGTTTGTCCAGCTCCAACTTCCCACGCAACATTTTCCCAGAGCAGGGCACGTGGGAAGGAGTGGCACGTTCCTCGTGCGTGGTTCATAGATGGTCACCTGTTGGGATCTCGGAATTAGTTCTGTGACATCTCATTCCGGATGCTGCTGTCGAACACACGGGGAGATGCACCGCCCTCCGAGAGCTCCCCATCGACACGCCCCCCCCCCACACCACGTGATGGGCAAAGTAGTGAAAATGGAACCAAATTGAGAAACACACAAAATTATTTTAGATTTTTAGAAAGGCTAAACGTCCCAAAGCAGGATCTTCTTGAACGGTGTTTTGAGCCTCGAGGCTCTCAGATAAATGACGTCACCGTGTTATGTCCATTACACAAAGCACATTATGCAACATTATGCACTGCCGTTGCCACCGGTCCATATTTCACATGGAGTCCGGGAATTGGTAGCTATTGTGTTCGGGGTGGCAGGAATTACTGTGATCTGGTACCGGTATTATGTTGAACCTAGTAACAGTACACAGCACCTAGGATGACTGAGACAATTGCATGGGTTTGGTCTGTGGGAAAGATGACCATCCTCTTATACAAGTGTGATATGTGTGTGTGTGTATGTTGAACATCCTTCGCACCGTACGTAGCCGTGCTCATTGGACGGTGTGGGGTGGGAAGGACAACATACATACTGTACATACATAGTAGCTACAGCCATAGTGACCGGTGCATACCGGTGAATACCGGTGCATACCGGTGCCTGCCGGTATATACCGGTGTATACAGGTCACGCCCCCTCCAGGCCGACAGGTGGCACCCTGTCATTACCCAGGTATACTCGGCTGAAGTTAAGCCTCGTCCACATCACCGTCCAACATGTCGACCTTGCTACCTACCCACTCAGTGGGTAATATTTACGTATGTAATCACGTTAATTTGTTTGTGACGCTCTCAGTGTGTCAGCACTTGAGAATAACTCATTGTACTGGGTTGATGATCCCTCGTGACCAGAATAAACCGGGGACCTATGGCATTGCATTTAAACCATTTGTAACCGATGACCTCTCAGAACGAGCCCTTACTCAACTCTGCACAATGACAATGGTTCAGGGTGTTGTAACGAACAGACTCGCATATGGTCAAATGACGTCTTGTTGTGTAGCGTTGCCGATCGGGGTCGCCACCTCTTCCGCTGCAGAGAAAACCTCGGCACGTCTCCCGGCCTGCGTCTATCAACACCGCGCAGCCTCCCAGTCATAAAGTCAAGCACAATACCGACACCAGATCTCGGTCCACATCGATCGCTGACACCTGTCACAGGCGCCAATGCCCCGCGATGTACAGGGTCAAACCCAGACAAGGTGGCCAGCCCTCGTGACAAGGCAGCCCATTCGGTAGACGAGGCGAGCCGCGACAACATCGGTGCCACCTCCGTCCCCATCTCACCCCTCGGTCGGCCCTCACCTGTCCACCCTTCCCACGGCGACCACAATCACAACGTACCCCCCTCACCTGGCACTCGCCCCTCGCTTGACGCACACTCGCAAAACACGCAAGTGACCCCCGCTCACCGGGAACTACACGCTCACCTCACGCTCACCAATCTCTCACCTGACACCACTCACCAGATACTCACCACTCACCTGGCGACACATTCCCCACCTCACACCGGTCATCGCCACTCGCCACACACTTCTCTATGACAGTTTGGAACAACGCGTACAGTTTTCACTTCTGGTACTTTGTAGATGAGCAACACGTTCTGAAAAAAAATCCAAGAACATTTAAGATTCGTCCGAAATTGTGACGTCATAAGGAAGTGACGTCGCGCCCACTGCCAACAGTGACGTCACTTTTGTTATCTCGAAGGCATGTTAATTACAAAACTGCAATAATTCGATAATCCCAATATTTGGTAAAAATATTACAAAGTTTTTTCGTAAAAATTCCGAAGCAAAGCCCGACTATACTCAACACATTCATCAATAACACCGTGGCCTTCAAATTGGAAAATATCATAGGTGACGTTTCGGGCAATTACCCTTCTTCATTGCACCGAAGCAGAAAAGGCATCCCCCTCGTGTCACCATGTGGATGGCGCCTTTCGTCCAGTAGGCGGCGCATCACTCAATGCGGTGACCACTTTGGCCTCTTAAAAGAATATAATGCGTTAGGTCAAAAGCCATAGGTCGTACAGAGGTCAAATTCAACACCGAAGATTCCTGGATTATTCTGGTCAAAACAAGAGGCCTAAATTTAGCTCATCCCAACTCCATCATCCACCCTTACGAACTATTTTTATGTTTACCAGGTAGAGCCCACTGAGCAGTGTCGCTCTCTTTCAGAAGCCACCTGGCCACAAATTATCGCTCGACTTAGTGGCTTATCGCGTGGAAATTTAAACCAGCCAAAAACTCTGAACGCATGTTTCTAAATGTGGAAGGGGAAAACCGGAGGACTCGGGAGAAAAATCCACGCGACCACGGGGAGAGACACGCAAACTCCAAATACACAGCAGGCATCAGGGTCGGGATCGAACCCCAAACCGCATGTGCACGTGGCGAGGTAGTTAACACCTCGCCACCGAGACAATCACAGTCCACTAACTGGGTCCCAGGTTTTATTTAGGAGAGTGAGGTCACTAATTGTACACAGATCATCTTCTGCAGTTTCTGGCAGGAAAAGCACAGAAGTGATGCCGTGGAAGTGACGTCACTTCCACGACATCACATTCCAGATCATTCTGAATGAGTTGTTTTTCTTCAGACAATTAAAAATGTCGTATCTAGGCAATGGACAAAGAGCTCCCGTATTGCATTAACAGACTGTTGAGCCAAGTGCTGTACTCGTGTGCACAGACACTAGCTATGCACCTGGCCAGTACCTGCAAACAAAATAATTTTCACGACTCCATCTCCATGCTAAACGTACCCTCGAATGCATTCTCGCTATCGGCCATCAACCCTTGGGGTGAAGATTTTCTGCCCAAGTCCATTTTTCTTCACAGTCAAAGCGATGTAATGTCAACCTGCGTATATGTTGTCTAATTCCACGTGTTCCTCACTGTAGCGAAGCAGCCTAATGCCAGCTGCGTTGCACACTCGTAAGATGCTGTGGTCGATGATACATCGTCGTGGTCATTGTCCAAGTTTCTGATCCAAATCTCACAAGCTGATAAAACTGTACCCATACAAGAATACAACACAAACCACACACCCCTTAGAACAACGATTCCTCACCAGTGTCGCCTTTCAACAGACTGTTGGGGCAAGTGCTGTGAGCTTGCAGCACCTATGAAGGGCAACACGGGACACGAGGGAGTGGCGTTGCCAATACCACGTCCACGGCCGCCTTTGTCTCCCCAGTGCTGTTTACACACCGTGCCAGGTTCTCATTTAAGGTTGCGATAGCCTAAGAGAGGCCCACAACCGGTTCAATCAGAATATTTGTCAGAATGGGAATCTTTATTTAGACTGCAGGAATCCGATGAGCTCTGAAGCTGTTTTTCACAGATGTCAAATATTTGCAATAGCTATGGGTCTTCGCCATCGCAGACACAACACATACCCACAACACACACGTACACGTGTACAATACTGTGCACGCATATATTACACACAGCTACAATAACACACACAATATGCATATCAGCACACGTGCAGAAACACACTTTACAGGGAAAACATACAATGCAAACACAGACACACATTACACCCAAATAGACACATCGCACATTGCTCACACGCGGTCACACAAAGTGCACAGGTCCACATAAACGAGCCGCATGGAGAAGGGCACATAGACACACAGTCGGCACATACAAGACCCACGGACACCACAGACACGTAGACCGTACGTACCACACGCGGACTACACACAGACAGATGTTAATCACACAGACACACGAAATACACAATACGTACCGCTAAGAATACACAATTACATACAAAGACAGAGATCCCCCCCGTCCCTGTAGCCTACACAGATTGTTGGAGCAAGTGCTGTTAGCGAGCACCTACCAAGGCCAGCGCACTGGGGGTGGGGTAGCCAGCACCACGCCCGGCCGCCTTTGTTTCCCCAGTGGCGATGTTTATACAGCGCACCAGGGACTCATTGGATGCAGAGTCGACCTTCATATACAAACACATACCAACATGTGTGTAGGAATTCTTTCGCACCGTATGTAGCCAACCGTACGAGACGTACTTGCAACCCACTTGTCCACACAAACGCACACACACCACCACCCAAATCACATTAGACACGCCCACACACGCGCGTTTATATAGAAATATTTGTTTTTAAATGCGAGATTAAAAAAATGCATCATCTCAATTCAAGCTGAAACCGCGACTGCCCCAGTACAAAGAGCCTCTGCATGGTCTGACTACACACACACAAGGGCTCCGTGTCCCTGTGTGCGCGTGTACAAGTGCAGCAGCAGCAGTAGCATCGCGGGGTGGGTGAGAGGGGAAGAGACGAGCGCGAGACGAGGACGAGGAGGATGATGATGATTCTCTCCTTACCCGGAGCAGCATCTCCCGTGCTCTTAGGTCTGCGACATCCCGGAGCCAGAGACGAAGGCGTCACGTGACGCACGCTGGGGTCTCGGAATCAGCACTCACATCGCAGCAGCTGCAGCAGCAGCAGTGGCAGCAGCGCGTGTGGGTGCTGCTGCTGCACGAGGCACCAGCACCACCACCACCGTCATCATCGTCGTCAGCAGCATCTCTCTCTCTCTCGACACGTGGTGTGTGTGTGCCTTTGTCCTTATGGAATGCGGACGGCGTTTCTGCGATTCACTAATTTCAGTTCAATGGCGCGAGTCAACGTCGCAGATGCATCCGTCCGGCTCAGGCGTTGCCGATTTCACGCGGTGATGATTGAACACAAGACATTAATTCGCCTTAAACTTTCACCACATTGTGCCGCGCGTGTGTATGTTTATATACACACAATAATTATTATAATGCTCCTGAAATAGTCTGCAGGGTTTTTTTGTGGCTTAGTTTTCGCAGATATCTCCTTTTACATCGCTGGGTTCATCCCGACTTCATCCCGTGGAAGACGCCGACGTCATCCTTCTGCTGGGCGCTGCTGCTGCTGATGATGTTGCTGATGTTGATGGTGTCGATGTCCACACGTTTCCTGTGTGCACGGCGTCTTCTTGTCCGAGCGGCCGCTTCGATGCAATCCTCTCGGCTCTCTCTCTCTCTCTCGCCGACTCTCTCTCGCCGTCTCTCGCGCACCACGCACCTCGCCTAGCCTCACTCAGCCAGCAAGTGCGATGGCGGAGCCTGCGACTTGGGAGCTTCCCCCAGCGTCCAAGAGAACGACTCGAGGCGAATAACTGTGCAGGATGTCTGCCGCGAAGATGCAGGGGCAGCGGTGCGTCCCCTTCCCAAGCACGGCCGTTCACGGCTTGCACGCTGGCAGCAGCAGCACCAGCAGCAGCACCAACACCAACAGCAGCAGCAGCAGCACCACCAACAGCAGCACCACTAGCAGCAGCAGCACCAACACCAGCAGCACCACCAACACCAGCAGCACCACCAGCAGCAGCAACACCAGCAGCACCACCAATACCACCAGCAGCAGCAGCAACACCAATACCACCAGCAGCAGCAACACCAGCAGCACCACCAATACCAGCAGCAGCAGCAACACCACCAGAACCACCACCAGCAGCAGCAACACCAATACCAGCAGCAGCAGCAACACCAGCAACACCACCAACACCACCACCACCAATACCACCAGCAGCACCACCAACACCAGCAGCACCAACACCAGCAGCACCACCAACACCACCACCACCAATACCACCAGCACCACCAACACCAGCAGCACCACCAACACCAGCAGTACCACCAATACCACCAGCAGCAGCAACACCAGCAGCAGCAGCACGTCTCTGTGTCCCTACCGCCCGTCTCTCCGCACCGCTGAGCGAGATTCGTCTCCACTGCGCCTCGACTCACGGCGTTGGCGGCGGCGGTGATGCAGGGAGGTGCCCCCGGTGCTGGTTGGGTGGGATCGGAGTCGAGGGGTGGGGTCGGGCCCCCCGTGCTGGGGGTGGTTCGATGTGGGGGGGTGAGTGGAGGAGAAGGGGTGGGGTGAGTGGGGTGAGTGCGGGAGATGGATTGGTCCGTTGGTGGATGGGGTGAGTGGAGGGGTGGTGAGCGGAGAAAGGGGTCGCTGGGTGGATGAGTGGACAGAGGGGGTGGGTGGAGAAAGGTGGTGGGTGGGTGGATGGTGGATTGTGGTAAAGAGGAGTGAGGCATGAGATAGATGGGGGGGGGGGGTGTTAGGTGAGTGGAGGAGATGGATGGGCGAGTTGGATTGGTGAGTGGAGGGCAGCGAAAATGAGAATGGGTAAGTGCGATGGAGAGGATGGGTTGCGTGCAGGAGCACAGAGGGGGGAGGGAGGGGGGCAAAGTGAATGTTGATGATTCCTAACAATGATGACGCCGCCATGCAGTCGCCTCTTGCTGCCGATCCACTGCTGGATGATTAATTAGCCATGCATCAGCACGCTGGTCGTTGCGGATAGGTGAAGGCGGCACGTGATAGACGTGGGAGCGTAGGAGTGAGGTACAACTTACGTACAGTATTTTAATTGGCTGCGCTTTGCTGCCCCGCTATAGAATGGTTGCTGGAAGTGATGAGCGGTGACACAAGTTGGGCAGCAGCGGGGGGAGCGGTGGAGGAAGGGGGAGGTCGAGTGGGAGTGATGGGAGCGGTGGAGGAAGGAGGGGATCGAGTGGGAGTGATGGGAGCGATGGTGCAGCCCAGGGGTCAGCAGCCTGCTTCTCTGGAGAGGCATGCGCCTCTTTAAGGACTGCCTTGAGGCTCTCGCAACATTGAGGGGTTTTATTGGCGAGTTCGAAAAAAATGCTTGGTTGCCGACCCCTGACCATGGTTGTCCAGTTTACCGTGGGAGTCCAGTTCACCATGGTAGTCCAGTTTACCGTGGGAGTCCAGTTCACCATGGTAGTCCAGTTTACCGTGGGGAGTCCAGTTCATCATGGTAGTCCAGTTCACCATGGTAGTCCAGTTTACCATGGTAGTCCAGTTCATCATGGTAGTCCAGTTTACCGTGGGAGTCCAGTTCACCATGGTTGTCCAGTTTACCATGTAAAGTCCAGTTCACCATGGTAGTCCAGTTCACCATGGGAGTCCAGTTCACCATGGTAGTCCAGTTCACCATGGTAGTCCAGTTCACCATGGTGAACTGTTATCACTCAAACCATGAAGAAGGACCCTCTTGAGGAGCCTTTCAAAACCATCACTTTACCCTACATTGCAGGGATCACAAAAAAGATCTCCAAAATCTTGAATAAACACAAGATCCAGGTACGTTTCAACACATTACATGAAATCCGTGATCTGGTTCGGTCTGTAAAAGATGTGATTCCGGACAAACAGTACCCTGGTGTCTACAAACTAAGTTGCCTCTGTGGTCGTAGTTACATTGGAGAAACCCAACGACATGTCTCGGACCGCATTCGTGAACACAAAGCAGACCTAAAACACGGTAGGACCAACGCCTCGGCCGTGGCAGATCATTGTTATAATTCAGTAGGCTCACATGACATTGACTTCTCCAAGACAGAGGTTCTTTGCAAGCCATCTGGCTACCATGAGAGATTCGTTCATGAGGCTATCCACATATACAAACACAGAGACAATTTCAACCGAGAAGATGGATTCTGGCTTAGCAATCATTGGAAGGATTTGATAAACCATTTCGGGTCTTAATTGATTGTTCACGCTTACGGTGGCTTTCAGACAGTATACATTAATTTTTAATCTCCCCCCTCCTATTTTCCGAACATAGATGGACTCGTCCATCTAAACAAACTGTCAAATCGCTATCCGTGGTGCTAACGTTTAAAAATAAATACAAACCGCCACTTCTTTCAAATGTTCTGGCCGTTGGTTTTCACACCTGATGATGACTGCTTGTGTTGCAGTCGAAACGTCGTGAGAATTTTATTGTTTTATATATATTTTATTATTTTATTGTTTCCCTTCAACGTGACTTTACCGAAAGAACCAAGAATATGTGTTTATGTTAATTTCATTCCAACGTTTACTGTGATATTAATTTGAGCTGATATTGGGTTAGGGTTTGCCGCACTCCTATTTTCTTTTTCCTGAATTGGGGGGCCCCTTGAGCCGTTAGGGGCCCTGAGCCCTTTGCTTGCTTCGCTTGGGCTTCGTGCCACGAGCAGCAGGAGAGCGCGTGGGTGGATGGACAGCAACTGGCTGCTGGAACTTTCATTCGTGGTTCCGCTGGGGTGTCCGGGTGGATTGTGTGCTGAGGGGAGGGGGGTGAGTCGGGGTGGGGGTGACCCCATCTCAGTCAGCAGCCCCGTTACCCCCTAGAGGCTGACGCTTCGTGCAGAGTGGCACCTCGCAAAGGCTGGCGTCTGCTACCGCTGTGTGTCTATGTGTGTATTTCTGCGAGTACGTCGCTCAGTACATTGAGTGAAGAGGTGGCTCCGGTGATTATTGTGAACCCGGCGACCTGAGTTCGATTCCCGGCAACAGCTGACATCAGTGGCGTGTCAATATCTAAACCGATCCTGAGGTCCCATCCCCTTATCGCCCGCCCCCCTTTCCAATGCTGTGGCATGATCTTCATTAAAGGAGAGTCTTATACAAGCAAGAAAAATCACACGGTCACGGAATACATTAAACATGTTCAAAAACTGTCTAGGTGATCCACACGATCCTAGCCCAAAATGCAATGATGACAGTATACTACAGCATACATATCGATGTCTTTTTATTAACCAGCGAGAGTCAACCGGCACAACAAAGTCCACGGGTTAACATAAAATGAGCAAGGTGCGCTGCATACCAATGAGGTGTCCGTGGTTTTAGATATTCGTGCGTTTTGTTGCCACAACGTGGCACTGACGTTCCCCTGCACACGTTCAACATTCATCCTGCACGGTATCCATGCCACAGCCTGCGACGACCCTAAAAACCATGGGTGCCATGGTGACGAGATGGTAACTACCTCGCCTGGTATACAGGAGGTCGTGGGTTCGATCCTGACCCTGACGCCTGCTGTATATTTGGAGCTTTCGTCTCTCTCTCCCCGTGGTCGCGTGGATTATTTCTGAGGGTCCTCCGGTTTCCCCCTCCACATTTAGCAACACGTGTATAGACTATTTGGCTTCTATAATGTTAACACGTAGGCTTTCACGACCAATATAATCCATAATACAGGGTTTATTTGGGGGGGTTAGATCACGTAAATATATACATGTGTCGTTAAACCCGCCACCACCCGACACAGCTAATTAGTAAGGTTTGTCACGTAATCAGAACATGCCAATTCGTTACTAGTACAGCACACCGGTGTGTTGGAGAGTAAAGCCACATATTTGGCTGCTATACATTTCCACGTGATAAGCCACTTTGTTGTGCTATCATTTGTGATAGCCAGGTCGCTTCTGAAAGAGAGCCACGTAGCTCAGTGGGCCTTAGCTGTGTCGTGACGTTATGGATGTCACTATGGCGCTTAGCGCTAACTACTGTCGTCGAAGTGGAGGCGCATGTCGGGAGTCCCCTGGGCCAACAGACCACAGATCGACATGCAAGCGGGCCACAGGGGGCTCGAGGGACACGTGACGGGGAGCCGAGAGCTCCTGGCAGGATCGAGAGGGGTCTCGTCTGTGGAATCAACCCTGGGCCGTGCGTCTCGTCGTCTTCGGTCTTCGGTTATCGCGCACGGCATCGTAGACCAGGCAGCGTGTTAGCTGACCTGGGCCGATTGTATAGTTAACCCCATGTCGTTATCCCGTCAAGTGGTTATATGGTGACCCCGTTGTGTTAAGAACTAAACGCGTTGTCTCCAAGTTCGAGTGTGCGCCTCTGTGGAACCCACTACACCTGGTAATATTAAACAAAAAAGATAGAATAGAAAATGTGCTCGCTGACAGGACTTGTCCCCAGCAGTCTGCTCAGACTATACCGGGGGGAGGGAGATGTTCGTGTTTGTGCGAGCGTGCGGTTTGCACGCAGCGTGTCTACACCGCGGGCTCGAACGAAACATTGCGACAACTTCACAATTAGCGGCGGCCAAACCTTACCCGGTAACATAAAACAAACAAAAATTGTTTCGTTTTAATTTTCAAAAGTATGGGCGCATCACACGGGTTGAAAACCTTTGGCTTCGTGGCACCACCCAGCCTCGAGAATGGCCTCAGCCGAGAGACTCTCTCCGTCACTGGCCTTGACAATGGTCTCGGACTTAAAGATTTTGGCCTCGTGGCTTTTGGCCTCGACTCCAGCCTCGTCCTCAGAGGTCCGCAGGCCTTAAAGCCACGACTGCGGTGGAGCCTCAAATATAAGTACTGTCACCACGAGGATCGTTTCATCCGAAGGGAACGCTGACAAAACCCACACTACCCATGGCAGTTGTTAGGTGAAGTGTATTTGTTCCCACTTTCACAGCGCCGAGGGTCGAGAGAGTGACGGGACCGCCCTGCTGATCTTGTTGAGTCT